AAAGCATATCATCAGAGAATGGTTTGTTCAGTGCACAGGGGCGTGTCACGCTTAGAAACAGCGTTAGAAAGACATATAGGTATATAGACCCTACCCTAGTACTATATAAAAGGAAAGGGATGTAACGACAGAACCACTCCCTCCTCAATCTAAGTTAGATTTCACCACGTCAACTATTTTTAAGGCCCCGTCGAGGCCTACGGATCAAAAGCGAGATGATTTCCCTACAAAATGAGCTATAAATGGTCACAATCGGATCATTATTTCAAAAGTTATACGCCACGACTCACCGAAAACAGCTACCTCCGCAATTCCGCAATCACCCAAGACAGCGAAAACTCACCTTTTAAATTCGTTTATTAATTCCAGCCACGTTGACAGCACCTATGTAGGGCTAGCTTCGATCGGCAGCGGCATTCTACAGGTCTAAAAACTTATTGCAACATTTACAAATCATTTCCTCGACAGCAAGCAGGCATTTTCTCCAAAACCCTCGCCAATCATACTCACTTGTCGGCCATAGATGGCCTTGACATTATAAGCGTTCGATTCCCAAGTTTGATACAATATGTGAAGCCCATTTCTGGTGTCCCCCGCCGTGATATTGCTGGAATATTGCTAAAAGCGGCGTAAAACTAAACTCACTCACTCACTCACTTTTACAGTATTTCCAGTTATATCAGGCCGTGTTATCTTAGAGTAGGGAAAGTGATACCGTGCGTTTAACGTTAGACTCTCCTGACTCCCAAACCCTGGGTGAGACGCTGGATTAAAGTGTCAGAGGATCCTACTGAAGGTGTACTGTTGCAACATGACAGCGGATCCTGGTATGGTGTGTGGGGGCAATAGGACAGCGGATCCTGGTATGGTGTATGGGTGGAATAGGACAGCGGATCCTGGTATGGTATATGAGGCAAAACTGGGGCGGATCCTTTCATGTTCCATGTGGCTACAAGGCAAAGGATCCTGGTGAATCTGAGTTAACATTACAGCGGATCCTGTTATGTTATATGGACACAGCATGACAGCGGATCCTGGTATGGTATATGGAGTCAACATGTCAGTTGATCCTGGTCATTACGATCAGTCAATGGCATCGTCATGACTGTCTGTGTCAAGGTATGGACATTACGATGAGTCAAGGGCGATGTCCCGACTTACTACGTCAAGGTATGGACATTACGATGAGTCAATGGCAACGTCATGACTATCTACGTCTAGGTATGGATATTACGATCAGTCAATGGCAACGTCATTACTATCTACGTCAAGGTATGGACATTACGATCAGTCAATGGCAACGTCATGACTGTCTACGTCAAGGTATGAACATTACGATCAGTCAATGGCAACGTCATGAGTATCTACGTCAAGGTATGGACATTACGATCAGTCAATGGCACCGTCATGACTATCTACGTCAAGGTATGGACATTACGATCAGTCAATGGCGATGTCCCGACTTACTACGTCAAGGTATGGACATTACGATCAGTCAATGGCAACGTCATGACTATCTACGTCAAGGTATGAACATTACGATCAGTCAATGGCACCGTCATGACTGTCTACGTCAAGGTATGGACATTACGATCAGTCAATGGCAACATCATTACTATCTACGTCAAGGTATGGACATTACGATCAGTCAATGGCACCGTCATGACTATCTACGTCAAGGTATGGACATTACGATCAGTCAATGACACCGTCATGACTATCTACGTCAAGGTATGGACATTACGATCAGTCAATGGCACCGTCATGACTATCATATGGACATTACGATCAGTCAATGGCACCGTCATGACTATCTACGTCTAGGTATGGACATTACGATCAGTCAATGGCAACGTCATGACTATCTACGTCAAGGTATGGATATTACGATCAGTCAATGGCAACGTCATTACTATCTACGTCAAGGTATGGACATTACGATCAGTCAATGGCACCGTCAAGGTATGAACATTACGATCTAATGGCAACGTCATGACTGTCTACGTCAAGGTATGGATTACGATCAGTCACGATCAGTCAATGATCACAAGGTATGGACATTACTAATCTACGTCAAGGTATGGACATTACGATCAGTCAATGATCACCGTCATGACTATCTACGTCAAAGGACATGATCAGTCATTACGATCAGTCAATATGGACATTACGATCCAATGACTCATGACTATCTACGTCAAGGTATGGACATTACGATCAGTCAATGACACCGTCATTACTATCTACGTCAAGGTATGGACATTACGATCAGTCAATGGCACCGTCATGACTATCTACGTCAAGGTATGGACATTACGATGAGTCAGTGGCGATGTGATGACTGGCTACGTCAAGGTCACCCTCAATAACACCCAAGGTATACGTACCGATAAATCTCCACTAATATATATAATATCGGAACGTATACCCTGGAGGTTATCGAGGATACGTCAAGGTATAGACATTACGATCCATCAGTCCGAAACGTCCGATACCCTGTTGTAAACATCAAACATGGACATGCTGACATGCACTATCAGTTTACAACCTTGAACATAGAACGCGACTTGAGCATAAAACGCGCAAGGCTGAATCCGAAGCACACTTTTCACTATCGTCTTTACCAATAAAACACATTTTTCTGCCACACGTGGTGTATGTCAAAGACTAACATCCATTTACAAACGCAAAGTATTCATACCCCATGATCATTAATCGATTTCCAATAGAAAGGTCTTTCTGAACGTCATCAATCCGATATTAACGTCAATTACGTTCTGTTTAACGTCATTGTGAGCTCCCTCATTGTCCACGTCCAAATATGTCCACACCGAGATAGGAATAGATGACTTTGTCAATGTCCGGCTTACAGCCGTTCGTCGTCCTTCGGGTTGTAAAGGAATTGTCCATTCGTCCAGACAAATAATTACTTTGATCTGTGTCTGTTAGGTCAGAGAGCGCCAGCTGTTATATTGTGCACTGTTGTATATGTACTTTGTTAATACAAGACACACACGGGTGTAGATATGTTAAGTATCAAATGGGTTATTGAGAGAGTACGGCGAGTCTATGCACACTGCAACACACAACCAGGTGTGGGCTGCTTCCACAAGGTATATTGTCAAGGTGACAAAGACTCTCAGTTCAATCTGATTGTGTTGCGCGGTAGATAAATGTCGTTCAGTGTACATGTGGTTTGTTAATATCTCCCTTGAGATGGTGAGTTTATCGATGTTTGGTACAGCATTGTTCCTTGTGCTTTATATATGTTGACAATGACACAGTTCACTGACACGGTTGTGTAGAAGACATTTCCTAGGATCTCCATTGTGTGATATTCCCTAGAAACACCTTTCTGTATCAGATGTTCCCATGGAACACGTTATGTGTGATATTCCCTAGAAACACCTTTCTGTATGAGATGTTCCCATGGAACACCTTTTGTGTGATATTGCCTAGAAACACTTTCTGTGTAGGAGATGTGCCAATGCACCACGTTATGTGTGATATTCGCTCGGAAAACAGTATTTGTAAGATATTCCCCACAGTTGTTTGTGAGATATTGCCTAGCAAGAAGTTTCATTCTGATGCTATGTTAATGTAAACGGGTGCTTGTGTTCTTGAGCTCTGGTTATACGTGTATGTTTGCGTGCGTGTGTGCGTGTGATGTCTAACCATGAGTGTGCTTGTGGAGTAGCGTAATAATAACAATTACCTAAGAAACTAAGAAATGGTTAGTTTATCGATGTCCGGTGACCCCTACACCTGTTCCTCGTTTGGTGGTGCGGGTTAGGCGTTAGCTTACAAAGCTGAGGGTACGCGTTCGATTCCCAGAATGACGCTATATGTGAAGCCAAATTCAGGTGTAATTCTAGTGTTACTGCTGAAAGCAACATCAAAACACTCACTCATTAACTTACTCATTAATCAGTCGCTTGAAAGATAAACTACTCTGTTTTTAAATTCGTCTAACGGATTTATTATGGCTCTAGATTTAGTTGAATCCTTGTTGTAAGGGACTGGACTCTCGGACAATGGCTAGGCAGATGGACTGACGATCGTCTCTGAGATGACGCCTGGCGGTTTGCTGCTCTATCTTGTAATTGTATATATGGACGCCAATGTTAAATGCACAATGTTAAGTAGTCTGTCTCACAGTTCCTGAACCACATTATTTTCCCTACTGCCAAGCCCTCCCTGCAGTGCTAAAGCCCTAAATGAAGCAAGTCTAGATTTCCTCAGGTTCAGGCTGAATCTCTGGTCTCCCTAGGGCTCCTTTTCAATATAAATGGGGTTGTTTGTTACTATCAAAATTATATATATTCAGAGACTAAGCCTTAGTCTAAATGTTAAGCTTCTGTGGCCAACCGGCCATAATGTAAGGTTAGCAGCTGACCTGCTTAAGATTTAACTGTATAAATCCATATCCCACCATACTTGCCATACTTGATTTGTATCGCAATGTGGGTGAAAATCTGGAAATAGATCAACAGTTGTTTCATATGTTTCCTTATTCGATCCATCAGTACATAATCACCTGCTTCTGTGGTTTTCGAAAACAATGAGTTGAGCTCGTCATGACTAAATCCATCCTCACAAATAGACGTGTAATTTCTCATAGCAAAATCACCATATTCCATCGATATATCTGTAATTTGTTAGCTGTCCGCCATTTTGGTGGGCAAACGAAAATATTGCATTACCGTAAAACATGTATAATTGTTCAGCAGAAAACCACAGGTGAATAGCAGGATCATACACGTTTGACTGACTTTAATTAACCAATCTCAATCAAGTATTTACTCAAGGCATGGTGGAATAATCAATAAAAGACTTGTTGACACAGGTCACTCACGGCGACAACCTTGATATAAATCAATATAAAACAAAATATATTGATATCAAAATCAAAAACATTCAACCAGCCCTCTTCAAATATCCTTCAGTTTTATCATTGATCTTCTTTGTACGTGACCACATTGGTTGTTTTGTGCTTTCAGCAAGCAAAGCGTGACAGCAATGCCGTCATGTGGGAAGGTCTCTTAAAGGGGTTCGCCTGTGCTGGTGGCCTGATCCTAGTTGTGGCGATACTGATGCACTTGCCTTGCTGCAGAAGCTGGGTGAACAAGAAAGAGTCGGAAGTCTTCAAGTGGCAGAACGAAATGAAAGGCCGGAACCGACCGAACACAGAACCAGTGACTGTGATTGGTCCGCAATACTAAACATTCCGAACCACTCGTACTATTCCGACACCTGCTTTTGTCACGGAAATGCACGAGAGTATTTTTTCTAGGTTGCTTTCGGCCATTATCGACATTATCGATGTTACATCCTGGATAAGTATCATTTTGTTGAAAACTTTTCTTTTGAAGATTGTATAATTAAACATACGCTGACACTTGCCAATCGGTGCGTTCAATATTGTACTGTTCGTGTGAAGCCACGACACGTAAAGGCGGAAGTTCACGAGTGTTGACGAATGTACATTAGCAGATATCGACAATGATCACGACATTCGTAACTACTCGCCTCTTTCCGTGACCTACAAGAAGACTCATGCCTGTATGGTACCCCATTATTGCCAAGAATCGTGGCAAACCAATCAAATCGCGCATAGTAAAACGCATTTCGATGCATGAAAATGGCGGCACCATCAAACTTTGAAACTTCGGTAAACTATGCAAAGCACAATTTAAACATAAACTTTAAACTAAAGGATCCGCAACTGAAATATATTTACAAAGGGAATGACTGTATTGCTGTTTTGCCCACGGGATATAGGACATTCTGGGAGTTGCCATCTTTCCTTGGTAATAGTACTAGAGTATTTTCATCTCCATGCCGGTTTGCGCTTAGACATGGCCCAGTCGTAAACATGGCCACGAGAGGGCTACGAGACTCCCCTCCGGCATGCCGGAATGACACGAGTAGTTACGAATGTTATCACGAATGTGTCATAAGATTACGGAAATGTACGAGTGGTCACGGTTGCTCAGTAAGATGACCATTCGGAACACCTCATTATGAACAAATTGCTTGTATGACAATAGCTTCTCTAGACTATTTAACGCAAGCAAACGCATCTGACACAAATCTTATCAGGAATATTTGCATCATTTTGATGGAACAAAGCACTAGAAAATGAGGTGTTTCGAAGTTTAGGGTACACATATTACATGAAATTATTTCATAGAACAGGTTTCAAAATCAACGAAAGTAAGTCATGCACCTCTATCGAATGAATTCTCGAAATATGATACTCTTTAGCACATATATGTTATTGCTAATAATTACAATTTGGACACCTCAAACATTAACATTTGTTTTATGTACATTATAGAATTATACATTTGACAAATGTGTGATGAAATATAATTCATCAAATGAACACCTTGGTGAAAAATGTACACTATTATTTACCTATCCTGAAATGCTTGTACAATGCAATATTTTGCTGGAATCCAGTTTTAAATAGTCAGTCATTTTAGACTGAAGTATGACATGTATTAACAAAACACCCGTGGGTGGTAGGATATCGATTTCTCAAATATGGATGGCTGAAAATAGCACTTGTCATAAGAAATTCAGTTTCATTAAAATAACTGTTTTGTGAAAATAGTGATGCTAACTTGGCGCGATAATACGTTTTGGTGTGGAATAAAAGCAGACGTTGGGTTCATTGATCAACGGCTACCTTTAAAAAATGAGCAAACTGCTGACACATATTTTTACATTAGTGTAATCAACTTGTTGATGTTTGTTATGTATATTCTTTTCATATTGTAAATTTTCTTTTAAATGGTGCATGGCGTTTACTTAGTTCATGTTTGTCTGTTTGACGTGACATTCCTAATGGTGTATTCTTCAACTTTCTGGGGTTCCCCACATGGGCACAATGTGGGAAGACCATTTCTGGTTCCCCCCGCCGTGATATTGCTGGAATATTGCTAAAAGCGGCGTAAAACTAAACTCAGTCAGTCAACTTTCTGGGGAAACCGGAACAGCTTTGATCCTTTAACAGTAGAATTATCTTTGTCTAAGAATAGACGTCCAATGAAAACTACAGTAATCATGTATAGAAACTGAACTGGAGTATATTTCCATGAAGTAGTTGCTAGTAGACTCAGGTGACGGAAACCAACGTCACGACACTGTGTCAGTTGGAATAACTCTCCGTCTGTGACGTCTCTGGACTTCAAGACACAGCAGGAAACTGTTGAGAAAGTTTGTGTTTATAAACTCGATTCCACGCCGTTCTGAAACGCTGTTTGTGTAAGTAATGCCAAGACAGGACGAGCCCATTCGTCACCACTCGCCTCTTTCCGTAACCTCCAAGATCGCAATTCGGCTTGTCCCGGAATAACACGAGTTGGTCACGAATGAGGACGAGCCAAGTGGCAACATCCACAAAACGTTTCCAACGAGGTGTCTGATTGGTTCTAGTGTTGTTTGTAAGGTGATTGCTGATTGGTTAATACAAGCGCGTCTGTTTTAAGCGATCAAATGTAACAAATGGGGGTGTTTTCGAACTGACAGCATCGCCATCTCATTCATGTACAAAGTCTTTTCAGACCCTTTTTTAGAATTTTTGTTTTGTTCACATTGCTACAATTGACTCCCATTAGTGTTCGACAATGGGTTTTGTTGCCGGATGAATTGTTGTTGTCGGGTATATTCGAAATATGTTACGATATTGTATTTTCTGAAAGAATATAGAACATTGTGTTTGACAAGGAAGGTCTTACGATGAAAGTGTGATCTCATGGAATGATACTCACGTCTTGCTTAGAACACACACGTCCGCAGCAAGTTCTTCTCATACAAAGCTCACCCTGTGATACTTAATAGTTCTTGTTGTCCAACGTAATATTTGTAAAACATTCACTGGTGTATATACGTACTGTCATATCATTTAGAAATTCATTATAGAATCTATAGCCAAATCTGTTTTCTAATTAATGGTGTCTTCAGTTAACGCTTTTCACATAAATTGTTTTACATTCAAAAAGAGTAAGTACAGTCAACCCTGTCTGTAAATCAATACAACAACTAAATCAAGTCCTATTTTTAAACCAATACAATATCAACCTTTTATTTAAATCAATACAGTATCAACAGTCAAATCTACAAATCAATATTCAATCAAATTATGTTATGACTGACAATAATCAATCTTTATTTTAGTATAATGACATAAAGTTGTGCATTTGTTTAAAAAAAAAATTCAATTTTTCAATTGAACAATGAATTACTGGCTCCTGACTTAATCGCATCAATAGCGTGATTGTTAAGACCGCACCCACCAGAACGCAGAGTCTTCCGGTTCGTCCAATACCGGTCTAATTCATGTCAGACAGTGTCCTTTTTGATATACATATGACAAAGGCGTGCATCTCTCTCTATTGTCTGTGACTCTACAAATGTCTGTTCAAGAAACGTATGGATTAACACATGATGAATACGGTTATTGGAAATGACAGATTATCGTTCCCCTGTGAAATAATGCAGTTAATCCGATCCTTTGGCGACGGACCAGTTAACACCAGTTATTGATAAGGGACAGAAAATATGTACTGCCACATAGATGGCTGGTTATTCGCCATTTTTGCAAGTTGATATTAGAACGGAATAATGAAGAAAAAACTATGAAATGTCAAACCTACCTAAAAACCTTAAGGCATATTTACATTCATTTGTGAAATAATTTTGTAATTTTAGCCAGTAAATGTATATTAAATCTATAGCCTGCTGGTTTGCTATCATTGATGGTGTTCGCAGCACCAAGAAGCAATTAGGAGGTATTCAGATCGGTCGAACTGACGTATGTAACATTAACTTGGTTATTTGTTTTGTACAGTATACTCATTAACCCAGCCTTTATGTTTTCAATCAACAATATACCCTCTAAGTACGCCTTTATGTTTTCAACTTACAATAAACTCTCTAACCCAACCTTAATGTTTTCAAATCAACAATATACTCTCTAACCCAGCCTTAATGTTTTCAAATCAACAATAACCTCTCTAACCCAGCCTTAATGTTTTCAAATCAACAATATAGTCTCTAACCCAGCCTTAATGTTTTCAATTTATAATATACTCTCCAACCCTGCTTTTATATATTATTTTCAATGTACCTTATACTCTCTAGCCCAGTCTTTTATAGTGTACAATATACTCTCTAACCCAGCCTCTATTGTGCAGTTAATTAAAGTCATGCATATATCTGTTGCCTTTATGTTTGTTTCACTATAAAAATATCCGTTGCCATGGTGTTATTTTATTTGTTGATATCCCTCCTCTTCCGTGCCTTGTGATCCTTTAATGAAAAATAAAATTTGTTGTAAGACAGTTGTTCTTTATTTGTGTGTGTGTGTGTGCGCGTACGTGTGTGTGACAGATATATATAGTGTGTGTGCGTGTGTGTGACATATATATATATAGTGTGTGTGTCTGCGTGCGTGTGTGTGTGACAGATATATATAGTGTGTGTGCGTGCGTGCGTGCATTTGTTGTTTTACTGAGGTTTATTCAAACAATAACTTGTTTGTTAAGAATCTTTGTCACTATTTGGGATTCATCCTTCACACTACGGAATTTGATTCGAAAGGATACATTTCCCATTCCAAAGTGTGAATGTAGTTTTCCGCCGATTTGGGAATACTCTAGCAATATCAACTAACATCACAAATTGGCTTAACACATTGCACACATATGGGGATTCGAACCCAGACCATAGGCGTCAGCGAACACCTTAAACACAACCTTAAATAACGGGATCAGGTGACTCGATGACTTGGTTGACACATGCATCGTATCCCAACTGCGTAGATTGATGTTTATGCTGTTGATCACTGGATTGTCTGGTCCGGAATCGATTATATACAGACCGCCGCCATATAGCTGGAATATTGCTTAGTGCGGCGTAAAACTAAACTCACCCACTCCACACCTTACAACTACATGTTACGAAACGGTGACAATAAAACCAATCAGCTTCTTCAATAGGAAACAAAAATGTAAGTCTATTGGGTTCCCTAATCTCAGACAACACACGTTGGAAGCCACTTCAAAGCAGAGTTGTCTCCCCCTGGCATTGCCATTGCCTTTTCATCGTAAATTTTGTTTTCAAAGAAAACGGTTTTCAAAGACATGCGACAAAGAGGAATTCTAACTTCAATAATATGTATTCTATTTAAGGGTTTTATTAATAGTTATTAAACGCGATAAGAAATTCTGAATAATTTATTTAGTTGTGTGCGGTTGTTAGGAGACAAAACACAAAATCCCCTCTGCACAAACAGACAAAAGTTCAGTTCCTACAGACCTCAAGGCCGACTAGAACATTATGCCAAAGGCTAAACGAAGGCTTTTCTTTACACAGATACACATTACACGTTATTATGAGGGCATATAAACATAGATAATGACATCACCATTATCAAAACAAATTTAGGGTTGACTGCACATCAGGTAAATGCTGTTATACCCTCAGAAAAGTAGACTCTTCCACTAATGAGGTATACCTCCACTAATGAAAATAAACTCTTGCACTGATGATTTATACTTTAATAAGGTCATATATTC